TATATATATATATATATATATATATACGGCCTCTTTGAAGACCAATATTTGTAAAAAGACTGAAATAAGTTTCCGTGAATAAATAATTTAATATCAGGACATTTATGGTAAATGGAAACGTAACAGACAAGAAAACAAACTTATGACAAACTAATCTATTGACTACTTAATTCATAAATCTTCATTTAATTTAAGCATTAATAAATCAAAATATATACTGTATCGCAACAAACGATAAAAAGAAACGTATTTCTCAAAACAAGTCAACTTAGTAATATTTGCGTTGTTTCTGTAAAAAAAGAATAACACCACTGTAATCTAGTAATAATATATCAAACTTTAATACTATAATACAAATAATTGTTATTAAACAAATGTTGTTTGGAAAAAAACACTAGGCTGATATATAATCAGGTTCGAAGGTTGGTTAATAATAATCAATATTGGTCAAGGGGAGACTTGGTTAGGGGAAGACTTTGTTAGGAGGCGACTTCGTTAGGGGGAGACTTCGTTAGGGAGCTGATTTGGTTAGGGGCGACTTTTTAGGGGGCTACTTTGTAAGGGGCAACTTGACGGGATCCCATATAATATATATAAATTAAGCAACTATCAACAAACTATATCACATTTGCCTATCTAAATCTATTAATCCGACTGCTTGTATACTACCAGCAGCCTACTACTGTAACACATTGAAAAAGATAGTTGTGGACTATCATGAGTCTACTATCATGATAGTAGACATGATTTGGTGGCGTGAGTGCAGTATCTGTTTGGGCTTGTGCCTATTCTCACCCCGGGCTTAAATTGTACTTGATGATTGCCAAATAAATATTATTATTATAACAGCCTAACAGCATACACCGGGACTGTCTATATGCTGTATATTATTATATAATAACTACTTAAAAAGGAGATATTTAATGGTTTGTAGAATACTACCAGTATACTAAGACTCTTAGCAGGTAGTTAAAACTATTATAAGTCTACTCTTTACCTTTCAACTGATACCTATGTAATATCTAAAACAAAATCTGTGAATATCTACTTACCACCTATTATAAATAGACAATAAACTACTGACTATTTATCCCTGCTATGAATATGCTAATGAGGCAAATTCTGAAAAGACTTAGTAGGTGATGAAAAAAAAAAACTACTAAGCCAACGGGTTTTGGCTAAATCGTACTGTACACATGCCAACTTGTACTGTACATATGCCAACTCGTACACACGATTGGTGATCTTGTACACATGACTTTTGGCGAACTTGTACGCATTTTTGATAGGGTAAATTTCTCTTAGTTTTTCGATCAGATGAGATCAAACCAGCACATCAATAGTGCTGAGCAATTACTCCAGAGCACATAAAACAAATGATCCTAAAGACTGGGAGAAAGCCAAATCACTAAGGAACACAGTTAACATATGAAATCGAAATCTTAAAAGAAAAAGCATTTCTGACTCGATTAAGAATAATGCTAAAAATCCAAAGAAGCTTTGGGACACCATACATAAATTAATTCCTAAAAATTATCAAAAGATCAACAAAGTTTTTACTAAAGACGGATATACAACAAATGATAAAGAAACTGCTAATATCTTCAATAGCCACTTTACTTCAGTTGGAATAAATCTTTCTTCTAACTTCCCTGTATATGAGAATAATGATCACGAATTGATCATAACATTTTAGATAAGTTTGAATTTGATTTTATCACAAAAGAGTTTGTTTTCGATGAAATTTGTAAATTTTCTTCCAGTAAAGCTAAAGGTCTTCATGGAATTGATTGTAAACTACTCAAACTTGCTGCACCTATAATTTGTGATTCTCTATCTTATATTTTCAATCTATCATTATCAACATCTTCATTTCCTGATGAATGAAAATGTGCAAAAGTCACCCCCATTTTTAAAGATGGTGATAAGAGTGACCCAAATAATTATAGGCCAATCTCTGTATTACCTTGAACGGTCAGTTTATGATTAATTATATAGCTACCTTACTGAAAATAACAACATCCTAAATGAATCTTAGTCTGGGTTTAAGAAAAACCACTCTACTCATACCAATTTGCTTGATGTCACTGATTATATTCTCTAAAACACTGACAAAGTTAATGTAACTGCTGCCCTTTTTCTTGACCTGAAAAAGGCCTTTGACAAAGTCAATCACATAATTTTAATTGATAAACTCAGAAAATATGGTATTAGTGATATTGCCTTGGAGTGGTTTAATTCATATTTAAGAAATCGTTCACAAGTTGTTTGTATTAATTCTGATAAGTCTGATTGGTAAAATGTTTGTATTGGTATCCCGCAAGGTTCCATATTGGGACCACTACTTTTTATAATTTATGTGAATTCTCTCCCAAACAGTGTTTCTTGTAAACCTGTTATTAACGCCGATGACACCACTCTGCTGTGTAATTCATCCGACCCAATAATACTTCAGAATGAATTAAATCATAGTCTTGACAAAATAGTTAATTGGTTCAATGAAAATCACCTGACACTCACAAGTTGTTTGTATTAATTCTGATTGTAAAAATGTTTGTATTGGTATCCCGCAAGGTTCCATATTGGGACCACTACTTTTTATAATTTATGTGAATTCTCTCCCAAACAGTGTTTCTTGTAAATCTGTTATTAACGCCGATGACACCACTCTGCTGTGTAATTCATCCGACCCAATAATACTTCAGAATGAATTAAATCATAGTCTTGACAAAATAGTTAATTGGTTCAATGAAAATCACCTGACACTAAATATTAAAAAGACTAAATTTATGATTTTTGGAACAACACAGAATATTTCAAAATTTAATAATGTTACTGTGAGCTATAATAAGGACTCCATTGACAGAGTGGATTTTTTTAAATACTTGGGTGTGTTTTTGACCCGCAGCTTACATGGAACAAACACATTGAAAGCTTATCTTCTAAAGTTTCTAAAAGGATTGGTGTCATCCGTCGTATCAGATATTTTGTACCTCAATTTATTCTTAAGATGTTAGCTAAAACTATTGTTTTACCTTTATTTGATTATTGTTCTTGTGTATGGTCAAGCCTTTCCATCCAATTATCTAATAGCTTACAAGTTCTGTTAAACACCTTAGGAAGAATATTACTTTCATGTGATATTAGAACACCAATTAATGATATTTTAAGTTTGTTGAACTGGCAAACTCTGAAAAATAGATGGAGAGACCAATTATTATTTGCTCCCTCCTACCTAATTAATATGTTTGTTTTCCTTGAAAATGATAAAAACACTAGAAGCCAGACAAATAATCATCTTGTAGTTCCACAATGGAACATATGTCAAGGAAAACGAACTTTTCATTACCGTGCATCCATGAAGTGGAACCAACTACCTAGCAATATAACTAGGATTTCCAGAATTTTAACCAATACACATTTAAAAATGCTCTGAATTAACTGGTCTCTCTATTTTTGTAATTAAGTCCTCTGTTTTTGTAATTAAGTCATCTATTTTTGTAATTAAGTCCTTTATTTAATTTTCATAAATTTTTCTTTTCAATTTTTCAATTTTTGTATTTTATGTTATGTAACTGGACCACAATGAAAACTAGTGCCTTTGCATTGAGCTTACCATCCAGTATAACAATAGTTAAATAAATAAATAAATAGGTTCGTCAAAGAACAAACTGCCAGTGGGATAGGTTTGGATGGCAGAAACATGCATTCTCAAGTAAAAATGCAGATTCTAACAGATTTTCAGTTGTAACAACCCTCGTAAAGTGGCAAATAATCCATTTTCGGGTATCTAGGGGAAAACATTTTGGGGGAGGGGGGTGTATGGAAAGAAGGCATGTCACCTGACACCCCCTAAAATATGGAATGAAGTTTAGAAGTCCGACACCTGCAAATTTGTCTAACTTGTCATGCTTTAGGGCCTACTGTAGCATTAATTTATTAACAGTTATTTAAACAACGCAAAGTCAACTAGGTTCGAGACACGTTTCTTTTTATTGTTTGTTGTGATATATTTTGACTGCAGGTTTATTATTGCTTAAATTAAATGGAGATTGAAATAAAGTAGTCATTAGTTTGTCATCGTTTGTTTTCTTCTTATTCCACGTTACCATAAATGTTCTGACCATGTTTATAATAATAGGCCTATATAAAAATACATGAAAATATACTAAATGACGATGAATGATAAAACTTATAGTATTTTCATATTTATATTTTCCATATAAAATTATCAATATATTTATCAGTACATCTACATACTGTTGAAGTAAAGCATACACAATATTTTATTTTCTTTTGTTTTATTTCCATTTTCGATACATAGTCTAATGTTTATAAAATACACAAGTAAATGGAAATACAGTAAAATATAGATTTAATATAATATACAAATGGCTGTTTCGGGCTTCTTTTTAAAAACTGGAAAAATTCACGAGGCCTGTACATGTAGGTTCCCACGAAAGCGGACACGTTCTTTATACGCCTTCAGGAATGTGGACGAAATTAATGCAAAGACAGAAGTAGGTCAGATGCTCAAAAATAGCTATTTTTGCGCACGATGGCAGTGAAAAACACAAATAAATGGAAATATAATAAAATATAGTTTTAATAAACTTTAGAAAATAGTATATTAACTAACTTTAAAAAAGAAGTGAAGGTGTACTTGTGTGTAATAGTAACCTCATTGATAGTTATATTTTAAAATTCAGATATAAAAGTATATTTGATTTAACAAATTAATGAATAACGCAGCAACATAGGCCTACATTATATGCCTTTATTATGAATAACTGTATTAAATTACGAAATTAATAAATATATGTTCGGTACACTTGACTTTTTACTTCTGGGAACTTGGTAACATTATGTTCCAATTAATTATAATTAAAATTTCTAAAACAATAGCAATCATAAAAAACTTGAATAATAATCATTACACTGCTACTGAAAAAATACAAAAAGGGGAGTAGTATGTATACTCAAGCATCGTTAAAAGGACAAAATCAATCGTAAGTCTAAAACTGGGTCTAAACCATATCTCTGATGAAGAACGCACTAATAATTTCTAAATATATATATGTGTGTGTTTGACATAATATATAACATCATGTTCCTATGTATTTGAGCAGTGTATTATTGTCTATTTGATTTATATGGTAAATTGAGACCTGTCTTGTCAGAAAAGCAGGCTGGCCCTAAAGCAGTTGCTGAGCTGTTGTCTAGTGTTTCTGATTCATCAGACAGTGACAGTAAAGAAGAAAGTGATAATGAACATTAGCATTTTATAAAATCACTGATGTAGGTAAATATAATTAAATCACAGTATGTAATATGGTTACATAATACTAACACACACACACACCCACACCCACACATTATACATACAGGTATATATGATATATATATATATGTGTGTGTGTATATATATATATATATATATATAATATATAAGACATATATATATATATATATATATATATATATATATATACGTATATATATATGTGTATGTATACATATATATAAATATATATATGCATACGTGTATATGTGTATATATATATACAGTATATATGTATATTGAAACTGTATATATACAGTGTGTATATATATATATATAGTATTTATATACAGTATATACCTTATTACACAATTCCTACTCTCTTCCAAAGAGTGTACTGCATTCTTTAACATGTACATGAGCCATATTGCACACAAGACCAATGGCTTAAACGCTGCTTGCGAAACATTGTGCACTTATGTTTTTGTCTTGAATTTCGGCCCTCCAGCCGAAACACAAAGAGATCAGTGGAGGGAATAGAAATACGGTATATCAAAAATAGCAAATACATATTATTAGTTCTTTATATTTTACCTGGTAATCATTAAAAATAAATAAAAGTACTATATGAATATACTTTCTTTCAGTTTGTTGAGGGAGCATTCAGTTGATGGCACAGGTTGGGCACCAACAAGAAGACTTAAAGATGTTGTCTGGGGTCTCAGCTCATTATTTCTTGTAAGATTTTTATGTGTACAATATTTTATACCATTTCAAGCCATCCACTTAAAAGTGTATTAATTATAATCCAGAAAATATATAAACTCAGTTTATATTTATAAAAGTAATTATTACTACTACTAGTCATAAATTTACTATTTGATTTTATAAGGTATTTTAAGGGCAAAGAGGGAGATCTTGGGAAATGTTAATTGTGAATGAAAAAAATGTACAGAAATTATGTGTGGGCTTTTAAGGCTAAAAAGTAAGTTAGGCTAGGCAATCTAGCTCAAAAACGAGCCAAAAATCAAAAAATTGCAAACAAAGGTTTTTCTTTTTTAATCAAGTACATATGATGAGGGGATGAAATTCCACAAATCACACCTTGGTCACACCTCGGGAACATATGCAAATTAGCTAAAATATGCAAATTAGGTTGAAAATATAGGGGTCTCATATCTTGGCAACCGCTGGTCGCAGTTAGTTGGTTTCTTTTTCAAATTATTCAGAACATGCATGTTTCTATTTGCCCTAATAGAACATTTGCCCAAAAAATGAACAGAAATACTACAATTGACCTCTAAACTTATATTCACTGAATTTGCATATCTCTGCAACTAATGTATATAGAATCTTAATTTAGGTCTTAAATTATTCAAATACATGATTCTTTCTAAAATATTAATCAAAGGGATGGAAATCTATAATCACACCATGGTCAAATGTACTGTTCATATGCAAATTACTCTAAAATATGCAAATTAGAAAAGAAAGTAAAGGGTTCCCATATCTTGGCAATGGCTAGTCACAGAGAGTTGCTTTCCTTTTCAGATTGTGCGGAATATGCATGTTTCTATTTGCTGTAATGGAACATTGTCCACAAAAATGACCGGAAATGCTAAAATTGACCTTTGACCTTATAATCACGGAATTTACATATCTCTGTGACTACTTTCCATAGAATTTTGATTTAGATCTTAAATATTTAAATACATGTTTCTTTTTAATATATTAATAGAAAGGATGGAAATCTATCCCACCATGTTCACATGTACTGTTCATATGCAAATTATCTCTAAAATATGCAAATTAGGAATGAAAATATAAGGTTCCTATATCTTGACAATGACTGGTTGCTTTTTTCAAATTGTACGGAATATTTGTTTATATTGGCTCTAGTAGAACACCTGTTACCAAAATGGTCGGAAATGATACAATTGACCTTTGACCTTATATTCACTGATTGCGTCTCTGCGACTTATGTCCGTAGAAACTTCATTTACAAAACTTATTAAATGTTTTTTTTTTTAAATAATAGCAAGGATAAAAATCTATAAACACATTATAATCACATGCATTATTCATATGCAAGTTTGCTCTAAAATATGAAATTAAGAATGAAAATATAGGGTCTTATATCCTAACAATTATTTTTCAAATTGTAGGTGTGAAATATGAATATTTAAGTTTACCTTATCGAACATTTGCCGCAAAAAGACTTGCTACAATTGAGCTTTGACCTTATATTATTGGTCATTATTCTGGTCATATAACATTTTTATGTGATGATATAGTCATTGATGATGAACCTAATAACATTTTTCTGAGGCTATTAAGGTAAGATGTTGAGGTGGGGCTAAAATTGGGATACCCTAAATTATATATTTTGCCTTCTTCTTATAACAACATTAAGAAATTATTAATAAGATAGCACTCCGAGACTAAGTTTGAAAAGATAATTTAATTAGCACAATACTTATCATATATACTTATAAATCATTGTTTCATATTGAGCCACATATTTATACTTGTGATATTTGTTCCATACAGGACCAAAGGATGTTAACCTAAATATAAAGTTAACATCTATCGCAGATTTTAAGATTCAACAGATATTTAAACTTAACTATAGAGATGATTCCGATGATCGGTAGTGATGAACAACATGGGTCATAATATGTTTGAGTTATGATCATTTTTTGTCATAACTTCTCTAGATGAGAAATATATTATATAAAATACAGGCATACTTTCTAAATAATTTGAGACACCAATGTTAATCAAGTCTCTTGACCAGTAGTCATAGAGTTACACGAAAATATAGAGCAGGAAGCTGGTAATAAACGAGGGCATTAGTGACTTTGGAACAAACGTTTTATTACAGAGAACATTAAATAATATTTTCGAAAAAATAATTATTTTGAGGATAATAAATATATTCCAAAATGATCAAATATTCCATTTCTGCATGCTCTGAACAAACAAAAGGAAAGCAACTATTTCTGCTTCTAATTTGCATTGATAAATTAGTTATGATCTTGTAATTATATTTTTGTACGAATTGAAATAGAATTAAATAAATTTTACTTTGAATTGAATTGAATATTTAGGTAAACTGCATATAGAGAATGCAAGTGGCCAGGGTGTGATTTCTAGAATGTCATCACATATACTGTACGGTGAATCAAAACCTGAATTATACTGGTGCATACATATTACAGTACTGAAGCAAATAGAAACTGCAACTTCTAAGTGTGAAAAAAGAAAGCAAATACTTGACACCAGCAGTTTTCAAGATATGAGAACCCTATATTTTATCCATAAATGGCATAATTAGGCCGAGGACGTAAATTTTATATACAAGAATGGGACATGTGACAAATATATTGTTTAAGATATCCTTTAATAAACCATGAATTGAACAATATATTAGGTTTCTTCAGACATTAGTGTCAGAGATATACAGTATGCAAATTCTGTGAATATCTATAGGGTCAATTTTAGCATATTGGTTATACGTGGGGCAAATGTTCCATTAGAGCAAATATAAACATGCATGTTTTGAAGAATTTTAAAAAGAAAGACACTGCATTTTAATAATTTAAGACATTATCACATTTCTACTGGTATTATTTACAGAAATATGCAAATTCAGTGAATATAAGGTCAAAGGTGAGCATTTCCCGTCATTTTTAAGGAACATTTTCTATTAGAGCGAACATACATGTTCCGAATTATCTAAAAAAGAAAGCAACTTCCTGCGATTGGCGGTTGCATAGATATGGGACCCTACTGTATATTTTCGTTCCTAATTTGCATAATTAAGAGCTAATTTTAATATGAAGAGTATATGTAACCATGGTGTGATTATAGATTTTTATCCCTTCTATTAATATAATGCAAAGAAACATGCATTTGAGTAATTTGAGACCTAAATTAAGTTTCTATGTACATTACCCACAGAGATATGCAAATTCAGTGAATATAAGGTCAGAGGTCAATTGTAACATTTCCATTCATTTTTTAGGCAAATGTTCATTAGAGCAAATAGAAACATGCATGTTCTGATTAATTTAAAACAGAAAGCAATTCTCTGCGACCAGTGGTTTCAAAGATATGGGATTCCTATGTTTTCATTATTAATTTGCATAATTAAGAGCTAATTTGCATATGAAGAGTATATGTGACCATGGTGTGCTTATGGAGTTCCATCCCTTCTATTAATATAATGCAAAGAAACATGCATTTGAATGATTTGAGACCTAAAGCAAGTTTCTATGTACATTAGCCACAGAGATAGGCAAATTCAGTGAATATAAGGTCAGAGGTCAATTGCAGCATTTACGTTCATTTTTTAGGCAAATGTTCCATTAGAGCAAATATAAACATGCATGTTCTGAATAATTTGAAAAAGAAACCAACTCCCTGTGACCAGCGGTTGCCAAGATATGAGACCCTTATATTTTGAACCTAATTTGCATATTTTAGCTAATTTGCATATGTTCCCGAGGTGTGACCAAGGTGTGATTTGTGGAATTTCATCAGCTCATGATATGTATTTGATTAAAAAAGAAAAACATTTGTTTGCAATTTGTTTGACTTTAAATGCTAGATTGCCTAGCCTAAGTCTCTTGGAAGTACATATTGGGAGGATGAACATTAGCAACCTTGTGGTTGAATATTTTATTTTTATAGGCTTATAGCTATTTTTACCGTTCATTCTGTGACTTGGTACCATGTTATGTTACACTGACCAGCCAATGCTAATTTGTAAATTTCATGCTTAGTTTCTCCCTAAATATACTATCGCTGGTGATGAGACAATGTCCTCCATTGCTTTAATAGACCTGCTTAGTCACCTTATCCTATAGACATGTATATTCTGTAAAGTTTCTCATCATAGATACTCAAGCGCAAACGAAGATAACAAGAGTTTCCGAAAATTTCGCAAATAAACAATATTTCTATGTCTCCCACCAAGTCAAATTATCGTAGCTGTTTATTAGCTTCCCTGAAGGAGCGAAGCTCCGGGGAAGCTATTGTTCTCACCCATGTTCTTCATGTTGTCTTCGATGTCGTCTTCGTCGTTGGGCAAATTGAGTTGAACAGATTCAAATAACCGTCGTCTGATACACTCCATTACACAAACTAAAACTAATAGCGATGAAAAATGTTATTTCAAGTTAACATTTATTGGGAAAATGTCTAAACAGGTTAATGAAAAGATAAATACACTATGCAAAAAATATTGTAGAAATTTAACCATCAACATGGTATTTAGCACAACAAAAATAAGTAGTCATCAACCTTTTTCTAAAATGCAAATTTTTTCATAAAATATCAAACTTCAGTGTCATATGTCTAATTTTCGATGTATTTGATACAAATTGTGTTTTTCTTGTAGTTATTAACATATGGAATACAAAAATTGAGGTTAACAAGAAAAAAATTAATATGCATTATGTACTATTGTCGACGTTTATGATCCGAGAAATTTGTAATCAACAACAGTTTTTGGGGTAGGGGTTAACATTTATGCTCATAACCCTTGATTTAGTCAATGGATTTGTATGATGTTGGTATCTTATGGCCCTAAAAGTTAATCTCTAGCTCATACACTTAAGAACGGTTATAATGCTCTAAAACAGGATTCGAACATCAAACCTTTTTTTTGCAATCCACCCATATCATCATTGCTAGACAACAGCCACCTAATTTAATATTGATTTTGACTTCATCAGAAATTATTTTCACTCACCCACGAGTATGGCAGCACACCATGTTTGAAACCTAGATGCCAACTTTGCACCATTATCAATACAAATCGTCACTGCTGCTGCTGCTGCTGCTACTACTACTACCGTACTTTATAAAAGTTTGCATGAGGATAAAAAACCAAGCTAAATCATACAATACCTCATTTCTGTGATTTTGTTTTGTTAATTAGTTAAGGAAGTTTGATGAATCCACCCCTTGAACGGTAGCCATTATAAACCCAAAAATGAAAATGTTTGCATTATCGTGTATTGAGAAAAATTGATTAATTTTACAAATATTCCACTGGGTTACTATCAGGTTAGCAGGTGATTTTTATTGATAGATGTTATGGCTGTCTCTTATACACATCTAGATGTGTATAAGAGACAGATATATACCATTTTGATATATAATTACATATTCTAACTGGATTCTAGACCTAGTCCTATGTATATATATCGTGTCTGTATTTAACATATTTCAATCTTTGTCAATCAAAAGTCGAATGTACAGTATGTCCTGGTCCCCGACCCGTTTAGCTTTCATCACTTGGATAGGCTCATCTTCATAAGACTTCTATGAATGGATACCTTGTTTGAAGCAAGAAACCAAGTTGTCTTTATCGTTTATTTTATTCGTGTGGGAAACTTTTAACATAACTTTCACCACTATATATTTCCATATATTTTGCCATAAAAGAATATCTGCCATGGTTTTTGGGAAGAATTTGCATTTTTCTACAGAGGTCAACGAACTTTTGACCTTTAGATACGTCAATTTCTGCACATGTTTTAAATTTGAATGGCTGGATAATCTGCAGGCTACATGTTAATACCAACATCATGCAAATCTATCCAATAAATCATGAGTTATGAACCTAAATGTTAACCCCTACCCCAAACATCGCCATTGATTACACAAGTAATCAAAAATGACAGTAATACATTTAATCAATTTATAATTTTTTCTTGTTAATATCATTTTTGATATTCCATATGCTTATTAATAATATAAAATACTAATTGGTATCAAATCTACTCTCAACTGTAGATTTGTAAACGTTTGTGAGTGAATTGGGAATAAATATACAACTTTTCTGTGTAGGTCAATGACCTTTTGACCTCTAGTCAATTTCTGCCAATTTCAAAACTTTTTAAATTTCAATGACTGACCAATCTATAGGCTAAATGTTGATACCAACATCATACAAATCCATTGAGTAAATCAAGAGTTATGAGCATTTAATATTATCCCCTACCCCAAAAACTGTTGTTGATTACAAATTCTAAGATTATAACACAATGACAGTACTACATTTAATCAATTTATACATTTTTCTTGATAATATCATTGTTTTATATTCCATATGCTTATTTATAATAGAAAATACTAATTGGTATCAAATCTACTAACAACTGTAGATTTGTAAACATTTGTGAGTGAATTGGGAATAAATTTACAACTTTTCTGTGGAGGTCAATGACCTTTTGACCTCTAGCTACCTCAATTTCTGCCTGTTTCAAAATTTTTAAAATTTGAATGACTGACCAATCTATAGGCTAAATGTTGATACCAACATCATACAAATCCATTGACTAAATGAAGAGTTATGAGCATAAATGTTACCCCCTACCCCAAAAACCGTTGTTGATTACAAATTTCTTGGATCAAAAACATTGACAATAGTACATAATGCATTTTAATTTTTTTCTTGTTAACCTCAATTTTTGTATTCCATTTGTTAATAACTACAAGAAAAACACAATGTGTATCAAGTACATCCAAAATTAGACATCTGACACTGAAGTTTATTGATATTTTATGAAAAAAATTGCATTTTAGAAAAAGGTTGATGACCTTTTGACCTCTAGTGACGTTAATAATTGTCGGATTAATTTTATTTAAACTGCATAAGATTAAGAAACATATATGCTACACATTGCTACCAAAATAACATTGATGGGATTTATAATTCACAGGTTATAGGCATAAATGCTACCCCTCCCCCAAAAAAAGTATTGACCATAAAACACTAATGACCATTACAAATGACGCGAGTACATACAATGCATCCCTATATTTTTCTTGTTAACATCAATTTTTTAGTTTTATATGCCTGTAGGAACAAAATGATACCAAGGAAGTTTAACTGAGATGTGTATAAGAGACAGCCTCATTGGTCATACTTCTGGTTTTTTTTTTATGTGCACTGCATACAATCTGTCTCTTATATTTACAGGACTTAGTAGACTTTGATGATCCCTTAAATAGCAGTGCTGCAGATCTGTATCTTCGAGACAAGAAAGCTTTTGAAGAAAAAGTACTAGATTATGTAGAACATTATGCAAAAAGATGAAAATAAAAAACATTTTTCTTCATTCAGTTAGAAAATGCACTATAAAAAGGCCAGTTTGGTATAGGTAAAAGCAACAGGAAGTTTGATCAAGCTCATATTCTACTGGTCTAATGCCAAAGTTTATACTAAAAAGAATTATTATAGGTATCGGTGTTCACCATGCAGGTGCCAACCAGACTTAACTTGAATGATCTACAAATACACTGAACCTTTTTTTATATATAAATCTTGCCAGTGTGCTATAATTTCCTATTGTATGTAACATCATTTTTAAATTTTCACCTTTAAAATGAATATAAATGTGTTTTCAAACAGTTAGGTAGTCCTGTTATGTGATAACATAGCCAGAGGTCAGGATTTCTAAACTAATAATACTGTATATGAAAAAGAATATATGAAAATGAATTCCATACAAAACATGTCTTCTGTGAAGACTGATGTTGATTATTGTATTAATTATTATAATGAAAATTTGTAGTGCACCGGTACCGTATCCATCCATAAAAGATGCTGATGGCGCATCAACATGACAGTGTACTTTAACAAAATATCTGTATCAAAGACTATACCATGGAGAATTCAGAATTCAGATAGTCTCAATCAAAAAAATTATGTTATTTTTTTATCAATGTATTTTGTATGCTTCAATGTCAATACAGATTAATTTTGCCATAAAAGATTCTGCATAATACAAGTATCAAATGTTGGGTGGAGCCAATCTGGTTTTATATGCCTTTTTAACATTAATGCGTGTTGATACTCATGAGTTAGTGACATCGGCAGTGCCAGCAGTGAAAGCAAGGGATGAAGCTTAATTCCCCTGTCAGACCAGCCAATCCTCCACCCCCTCCCAAAAATCTGGTAATGACTTTTACTTTTTAAATTCATTAGGCATATGTCCTAAAACATTTCAGGCCAAATATTGCCAATTTTTGCAGGGCTTCACCTCCGAGCTCAGCTAACTCTGTCAATATAAGTTGACAGACCTGTATTCATCTAACTACTCCTGAATCCTAGGGCCATCACTTTCCCAGGATGGAACTGTAGATCCTCTAATGAGGGGTCCAAGGTCCCTGAATTGGCCCCCACCCACCTCATTCTCAATATGATGGCGGTAGAGTTGCGTAGACTTCAGGAATAAGTAACAGTAGATGCCCAGATATAATATGCTTTTCAAAGCAGTGTTCTGTAACAAAATCATTGGCTTTTTCTACGACAGGGCTTTAGGATTTCCAGTTCACATACCCTAGTCACCATACTGCTGCCACAACTGCCTTGTAGGAGACAATGACACATGCAAATATTCTGAATTTGTGTGAAATGAGTAGATTGTTGAAGATATTTGCTTAATTGTGGGATTGCAAAAAACAGTTCCAATTTCTGGAACTGCTACTTTCTTGGGACACTTTGTATTATTGGTTTGAAAGACTAATATTGTAGAATTGAAAACGCAAGTCCTGTTTGTTCATGAGAACTGTAAATCACTCCCCTCCGATTATAAAGGAGAGCAAATACTTCCTAAAAATATTGGGAGTGGGTAATTACACAAAAATAAAATGTTCAGTAATTGCAATCGCCTTCATATAAAATAACCTTCATTGCCCAATATTATATGTACTCTAAAAATTTGTAACAAAATCTTTGGCTTTTTCTACGACAGGGCTTTAGGATTTCCAGTTCACATACCCTAGTCACCATACTGCTGCCACAACTGCCTTGTAGGAGACAATGACACATGCAAATATTCTGAATTTGTGTGAAATGAGTAGATTGTTGAAGATATTTGCTTAATTGTGGGATTGCAAAAAACAGTTCCAATTTCTGGAACTGCTACTTTCTTGGGACACTTTGTATTATTGGTTTGAAAGACTAATATTGTAGAATTGAAAACGCAAGTCCTGTTTGTTCATGAGAACTGTAAATCACTCCCCTCCGATTATAAAGGAGAGCAAATACTTCCTAAAAATATTGGGAGTGGGTAATTACACAAAAATAAAATGTTCAGTAATTGCAATCGCCTTCATATAAAATAACCTTCATTGCCCAATATTATATGTACTCTAAAAATTTGTCCCCCCCCCCCCTGACAATATGAAACATAGAATCTCCATTAATCACACAGTGTAACAAAAAAAAAGACAAATTTAATCACATTGAATCAAAAAATAATGCAGGAGCATTTTTAATACGAAGTTTAAATAGGTGTACTTAACAGTTTTAAAATAGGTGTACCAACAAGGTATTGAGTTTAATAACCATAACACTGACCACAAACCTCATTGGTCATACTTCTGGTTTTTTTTTTATGTGCACTGCATACAATTACAGTGACTAAGTAATCATTTCTACCATATAAAGGCCTGCTTATACTTTCAACGATAACGATAAAAAGCTAAAAAGCAATTGTTCATGTGGAAAATTAAAAAAAAGAATAAGAGAAGTTTTTACAATAGGACAATTCTATAACTATTAATTGTGTATACAACAAAATATTTTGACAAATCAGTTCAAATGATATCATAATCATGGAAAAACAATAAAATTGTTGTATTTTCGGGGAGAAAAAGCACAATTCGTCGGAGAGAAAAATTATTATATATATTTTCTACATATTAGTAGACTCTAAAATCTATTTAATAAGCCTTTGAAACTCCTAAATTGTCAAAATTTTCGGGGTTTCGCCCTCTGGACAACTTTCGAAACCTTTTAATCGAAGCTCGACCACGCCTACTTTGCTTTCGTAGGGAAAATCTGACCCCTCGTCGGGAGCATCGCCCCCCCCCACCCCCGTCGTGCAAATCCTGGCGCCACCCAGTGCCGGTTTCCCTGAAATTCCACTTTTTTTCCCTAAATAGTAACTGATATATTGGAAATAAGTATGGCTGTCACCCTAGCTTTTTAAAATAATTATGTTATTTATTGGGATCGGATAGCCCAATAACATATGATAACACACCAAATTTACCATTTTTAATCGAGGAGAGATGGAATTATAAAAACCAAATATTTTATTTTCTATGTTTTTCATGGTGGCCATCTTGAATTTCAAAATGGCTGCCATTCTAGCTTCTTTAAAACCATGTTTATTGGACTCGGAGAGCCCAATTACATATGGTTAGACACCAATTTTACCATTTTTCATCGAGAAGTGGAATTATCAAAATACTCGATTTTTGAGGTGGCCACTGCCATTATAAGTTTTTGAAACATGTCTGATTGGATTGAATGACCCCAATACGTAGACACCAGATTTATGCTGTTTCATTGAATATAAGTACTGTAAAGTTATGAGCCAATATCTGAATTTTCAAAATGGCCGGCAAAAAACATGTTCCGTCTTTTTATGGAGGTCCTATACTCCACCACGCCCCCACCCACCCCCCCCCCCAGCTCAATTTTTTTATTTATATCCTAGTGGCGCTAAATCAGTAGAAACCTTCGTCCCCGAAAAATTGTCACGGGGACCCTGAATTTCACTATACTAAGTATAAAAACGCTGTTTTTAAATTGCGGTTGAACAAAAGTCCAGGTCTAGATGGACTTACCATAAAATTTTACCAAATATTTTGGGATTATATATGAAACCTGTTGTGTGAAGTTCTTTGAAAATAATAAATTATCCATATCACAGCAAAGAGGAATTATTACTTTATTGTATAAAAAAGGAGAAATTCAACGTTGATTACAAGATGTTAGCGTACGTGCTTGGAACTACAGTAATCAGTACCATTATTAGGCCATGGGCTGCAAGAGGGGGATCACCGTGCATCTCTCCCCCCCCCCCCCACAGTTAAACTTCCTTGGTATAATTTTGTTCCTACGGGCATATAGAACAAAAACATTGATGTTTACAAGAAAAATATAGGGATGCATTATATGTACTCGCGTCATACCTCCCCCAATACTTTTTGGGGGGAGGGGTAACATTTATGCCCATAACCTGTGATTTAAAAATCCATCAATATTATTTTGGTAGCAATGTGTAGCATATATGTTTTTTAATCATATGCTGTTTAAATAAAATTAATCCGACAATTATTAACGTCACTAGAGGTCAAAAGGTCATCGACCTTTATATGTAAACTATAGGCTAAATGTTGATACCAACATCATACAAACCCATTGAGTAAATCAAGAGTTATGAGCATAAATGTTAACCCCATCCCAAAAACTGTTGTTGATTACAAATTTCTAGGATTATAACACAATGACAGTAGTACATTTAATCAGTTTATACATTTTTCTGTTAATATCATTTTTTTATATTCCATATGCTTATTTATATATTTGTATGATGTTGGTATCAACATTTAGCCTATAGATTGTATATAGATAGATAGATGTATATATCGTGTATACATCATACAAATCCATTGACTAAATCAAGAGTTATGAGCATAAATGTTACCCCTACCTCAAAAACTGTTGTTGATTACAAATTTCTCGGATCATAAGCATTGACAATAGTACATAATGCATTTTAATTTTTTTTTTGTTAACCTCAAATTTGTATTCCATATGTCAATAACTACAAGAAAAACACAATCTCTATCAAATACATCCAAAATTAGACATATGACACTGAAGTTTATTGATATTTTATGCAAAAATTGGCATTTTATATAAAGGTCGATGACCTTTTGACCTCTTGTGACGTTAATAATTGTCGGTTTAATTTTATTTAAACTGCATATGATTAAGAAACATATATGCTACACATTGCTATACCAAAATAACGTTGATGGGATTTTTAATTCACAGGTTATGGGCATAGATGTTACGCCTCCCCCCACCCCAAAAAATTTATTGACCATAAAACACTAACGACCATTACAAATGACGCGAGTACATAAAATGGATCCCTGTATTTTTCTTGTTAACATCAATTTTTTCGTTTTATATGCCCGTAGGAACAAAATGATACCAAGGAAGTTTAACTGTGGGGGGGGGGGGTGTGCACGGTGACACCCCCCACCCCCTCCAGCCCATGGCCTATATTAACAACGATCAGAAACAGGATACATAAAAGTAGATTTTCTGGTGAGAGTACTAGGCTAATAGAAGACCTAGAATACACTGATACAAATAATAAAGAAGCCTTAATTTTTATTGATTTTGCAAAAGCTTTTGATTCTGTAGACAGGCAATTTATGCTGAAATCTTTGGAAAATTCAAGGTTTTTGTAATCAGTTTATACACTGGGTCAAAGTAATGTAGGCCTATACTGATACAAAGAGCTTCAATGTAAATAACGGATGGATCTCTGAGAGTTTCTTAATGAATTGCGGGATCCGTCAAGGATGCCCCTTTCAGCTTTATTATTAATATTGATTATTATATTATTATTTATTTTAGTGGTGGAACTAATGGAGATAAAAATAAGGAACAATCCACTATGCGAGGGTATTGGAGTGCCATCATTGAATGAAAATGAAAATTATACAGTAAACATTGCGCAATTAGCTGACGATACACTTGTTTTTGCAAGTGATGAAAATAGCATTGCAAATTTCTTTAAGGAAATTAAATCATTCTGTGAAGTTTCAGGTTTGAATCTGAATAAAAATAAAACCAAAGGAGTGTGGATCGGCTGTAACAAAGCCAAACAGTGTAATCCGTGCGATATTACAATTGTAAAGTTTCTTGGAATTTATATAGGTTATGATGACAAAATAACGTGTAGTGCGAGAGATTGGAATGGAAAAATCGCCAGCTAAG